GTCCCAAGGGGCTGAGAATGATAAACTGGGTTGCCCTCATCCAAACTTGCGCATCCGCCACCAACTTGCGCCTGTAGCCCTCTACCCCCAGCACCAACTCCCCGTGACTGGAGCCCTTGCGCTGATTGCCTTGCGAGGTGGCCGCGAACTTGAGCAATGCGCTCCACACTTGCGCTGTAACTGTCACGCCGCACTGTTCCTACTTGGGGTCCCATCCCCACAGTTGCCTGTGTGTCCCAAGCCCTCCCGGTGACCGATAGTTCACCACCCGGTCGCCGCCTTCCCGACAGCTGCTCACCGTTAGTTCCGGCACGGCCAGCAACCTCGCCCGGTGGGCACAGAAGCTGATGATAAGTGTGTGTGTGGATTTGTGATTAAAAACTGGTCTATGCAGGGAGATGAGGAAGCGGTTAAGTGTGTGTGTGTGTGTATGCTTATCCTTAGGTGCCCGCATGTTTCCTTTTTTTGACATGGGGTGTCCATGCTGTGTGGTGTGACTGCATTCATGACATAACCATGGACCAACAGGTCCCATCCATCGACCGGGAGCCACTGGGGGGCATGCCAGCAGGGTCCGCTTACTCCGTTACCCAGAGACCAACAATTGATGGGCGATGATCGGTCACATCGTATCATCCTTCCATGCTGCCTTGCATCTGGGTTGGGAATATGTATGAGTTTGTGGTATCTTGTCACGGCCCCGCCCTGCTCTTGATTTGCTTTTCACATCCACTGGGATGATGATGGGCTGGCTTTTGTTGGCCGATCTCATGCCGTTCAGTGTGTGCTTATCCTTGTACTGACTCCTTTGGCACCCCTGTAGCCACAGGAGACTGCACATGACTGTGTGTGTGTATGCTTATCCTTGCGAATCCTTTGGCACCCCGTAGCCACAGGAGACTGCACTATGTACCCTCGCCGGGGATCAAAGGATTCAGCACACACTTCGGGACACTCATTCAGATTCTCCGGAGCTCACTAGCGAAGAATGGGACCCCCTAAGCCTCGCTGAGCCACCCGAGCCCCTCTGCATCTGCACCGCCAGCGCACTGCCGCCGTGTGCCCGAAGCCGGTTCATCCCTGCCCCCCGAGCTGCGCGAGCCATATCTCCACCACCAAGCCCACGCGCAAGACCACCCCTCTGCTCCCTGAGCCTCACCGGACCGCCTGAGCCCCTCTGCGACTGCCCTGCCGGCGCACTGCTGCGGTGTCTCTGAAGCCGGGTCACCTCCACCAATCGATCCACCTCTTCACCACCAAGCCCACACCCCACATCACCCCGCTGCCGCCTACAGCCTGGTCCCAAGAGAGCTTGCCCACCCACGCCACGGCCAGAATGCCCAAACGCTGTCCCAAGACGCTGAGAATGATAAACTGGGTTGCCCTCATCCGAACTTGCGCATCCGCCACCAACTTGCCTGTAGCCCTCTACCCCCAGCACCAACTCCCTGTGACTGGAGCCCTTGCGCCGATTGCTTTGCGAGGTGGCCGCGAACTTGAGCAATGCGCTCCACACTTGCGCTGTGTGTGTGTGTGTGTGGATTTGTGATTAAAAACTGGTCTATGCAGGGAGATGGGGAAGGTCACCTGCAGGGCACAAACGTATGACCAAAGGGATCCAGGCGGGGCGGTTGGAGGATGGGGAGGTCACCTGCAGGGTATGAATATGCAAACAAAGGGATCCTGGGGTGCCTGAACACGTCCGCGGAGGTGGGCACCATCTTTAGCATCGATTTCGTGGTGCACGACCACAACCGCCCAGCCATGAACGCCACTGCCACCCGCACCGTCACCATCTCCTCACCTTGCCCCGTAGGGGAGGTGTGGTGCGATGGAGTGTGCAGCCCTGTGGCGTGCGACTTGCGGGTACTCGATCCTGCCCCGCACCTGCCCAAGCGCCACACCAAGCTCCAAGAGTGAGAGCTGAACAGAAAAACAGAGTTAAACAACTGCTTTCAGCTACCCCCTCACTCACCGCTTGCTGTGCAGTTCCCTGCTCCGCTCCCCAAAGAGGACCGCGTGCTGTGCAGATCCCTGCTCCGCTCCCCAAAGAGGACCGCATGCTGTGCAGATCCCTGCTCCGCTGCCCAAAGAGGACCGCATGCTGTGCAGATCCCTTGCTCCGCTTCCCAAAGAGGACCGCATGCTGTGCAGATCCCTGCCCGCTGCCCAAAGAGGACCGCATGTTGTGTAGATCCCCGCTCCGCTCCCCAAACAGGACCGCTTGCTGTGCAGATCCCTGCTCCGCTCCCCAAAGAGGACCGCGTGCTGTGCAGATCCCTGCTCCGCTCCCCAAACAGGACCGTATGCTGTGCAGATCCCTGCTCCGCTCCCCAAAGAGGACCGCATGCTGTGCAGATCCCTGCGCCCGCTGCCCAAAGAGGACCGCATGCTGTGCAGATCCCTGCTCCGCTCTCCCTAAAGAGGACCGCACGCTCGTGCAGATCCCTGCGCCCGGCTCCCCAAAGAGGACCGCATGCTGTGCAGATCCCTGCTCCGCTGCCCAAACAGGATCGCATGCTGTGCAGATCCCCGCTCCGCTCCCCAAAGAGGACCGCATGCTGTGCAGATCCCTGTTCCGCTCCCCAAAGAGGACCTTGCTCACCAATATATTCTCAGCAGACGTTCCGCCGACTTGTGTAACTGTTGCTACGTCGGGCCTGGAGACACGTTCAAGCGCCTGTGAATAACCGCCCTGCGGGGCGGAAACGAGGGTCTGTTATCCTTGGCGATGGAACTCATTGGAATTCGTGGCATTCGCGATTTACTGTCTCACCGTTCGATAAGGCGTGCAGGATACACTGTTGCTCTTCGAGCCCGCTGCCATGCGCCACCGCCGACTGCATGACGCCTCTTCTGCGGAAGCACTTGCCTTGACGCACGTGGCGCAGCTGCAGGTGCAGACTCCCACCGGTTGCGCAACATACCTGCCCTTGTTGCGAGACTGAGGGGGAGTGGCCGGCTGCTCACCATCCAATGGGTTGCACCGGACACTGTCGAGGCAATCCATACTAAAGAATGTTGTCGGCGCAGCACCCGTGTCGTTGAATGGAGGGGTCAGTGAGTTCATGCACAGTACACATGTGGGGAGGTTTCTGTGAAGGGCATTGAGGCTTTGTGAGCACCCTGCTTGCGCGCACGCCATTCACCAATATATATATATATATATATATTATAATAATGATAATTAGAAATTTGAAAAACGTCCCAAACAGAAAATTGGAAGCGAACAAGGCCCGCAGGGGGTCTCTTGCATTCATTTCCTGACAAGGGGCAGAAGGGGACACTGTACAAAACCTAGTGGTTTTTGTACAAAACCTAGTGGGATTCACAATATTGTGATTTTTGTCCATTATATTGTGGATTTGTCCACGATAGTCCACGATATTGTGGTTTCCGTCCACGATATTGTGGTTTTTGTCGTGGACAAAACCACAATATAGTGGACGGAAACCACAATATAGTGGACGGAAACCACCATCTACTACTC